ATTTTTCAACCCTGTATACCAAAATTCCCCATTTGAAATTGAAAAGTCGTAAAAAAGAAATAATCCACAATGCTTTTTAATATAAAAATGGTACCATACGCTATAAATTTATTACTTTGTGATACCATACGGTATATTTTGTTAATAGTGAACAAAAAGATAAAACATGCTACACAGAGGAACAAGTGAGCAGTATGCATGAATTCGGAGGAAGACTTTTTCAACAAATTGTCGGCATTCCTATGGGAACGAAGTGTTCGCCTTCCTTGCTGACCCCTTCTTATGTTCATATGAGTCGGAAATCCTTCAGACACTTGTCAAAAACAAGAAGATCAAAGAAGTCAGATCATTTAATTTCACGTTCAGATATATTGATGATGTTCTTTCTTTTAACAATTCAAATTTTTCTGATTGGGTTCCATTAATGTATCCTCCAGAACTAGAAATTAAAGAAACAACAGACACGGCTTTTAGACTTATACCTCGAATTTGAGCGGTCACCTCAGTGCCAGAATCTATGACAAACGAGACGATTTTAATTTTGAAAGTATCAATTTCCCCCACCTTAGTAGCAATATACCAATTTTACCTGTATATTGGATATATATTTCCCAACTCGGTATTCAAGAGCTTGCAGCTGCTACTCAGACTTAATAAAACGTCACCAGTGTCTGAGCAGAAAGTTGGTGAACAAGGGTTATGTCCTTTTTCTAAAAAAAGTTCATCGGAAGATAACAAGACCATGTTGATAAATATTCCGCATCAACTTCACAAATAAAACATGATGGCCCTGAAGTATAGATTCTAGGTGCTGACGTTGTTTATCATCTTAATTACGTGTTATAGTGTTCTTTTATTTGTTTTGTAAATTATTAACCTTTACTGTTAACATTTTTGGTATTATCCTTTTGGCGTGTCTCGGTACTTATGCATCCCGCCGTTGTATTATTGTGCTATGGTCATTTTTTTGTATTCTTGTCTTTCATTTTTGCTTATGTGCTTTGCCTATATGCCATTTTGTTTTTCTTTTTTGACATATTTGTATATTTTATAGTGATTAAGATTATAACACAATGTTGACTGCTGTACCCCTATTTTTGACATTTTTACCTATTATGTCTGTTTGTTTCGTTCACACATTGTTGTCAATTTAATGGAATTTTATTCGACTGTCATACAAGTGAGAGGTTTAGCTAGCTATAAAACCAGGTTTAATCCACCATTTTTCTACATAAGGAAACGTCTGTACCAAGTCAGGAATATGACAGTTGTTTTCCATTCGTTTGATTTGTTTGAGCTTTTGATTTTGCCATTTGGTAAGGGACTTTTTTTGTATCTCAATTAATTTTTTTTTCTTTCTTAATAAAGCATAAACTTTGCAAGAGCTTTAGTAACAGTACATGTAGCTAATTACAACTCTTTTGAAATAATTAAAAATCTGCATTCTGCTCTTGAATGGTGGTTGCATATTTAGGTTGTCATTTTATGGACAACATCAGGATAAACCATGAATCTTCTAGTTGTGAGTTATATATTTTAAAAGCTTATCCAAAAACTCTCAAATCAAAAACATTTCTAAAAATAGTTTAAATCATATAAGTCAAACCGGTTTTAAACTATTGAAAAGCTATTTAAACTTCCTACTTGCTACTTGTATCAAAAGAAATTTATTTCAAATATTGGTATGAAGACAATTAATTTGATATGTGTACCACTACTGGTAAATGTTGTTGTTATAACAGGTGAGTAGAATACTTTAACAATAGTATCTACATCTTACGTATAAAAGGGAATGGTGATAAAGTCGCATTTTTGCCTACGATTGTATAACTGAACAAAAATACGAATTGTAGACCCCTTTGAAAGCAGATACCAGGAGGTTGATAAGCAACAAAACGAAGGAAAAGGGGCAACATCAATGCAAAAAAGGGTGCAAAAAAATCATCATTAATGGCAAGTAACTCCTACAATTCGTCGACTGACGATTTCGACACTGTCTATTTGTAGTTCCTTTTTTGCTGACAAAAGGTCTCTTACAGTTTTAATCTAGCATCTGAAGTTTTCACAAATGTACATAGAAAGTGCCAAGGAGAAAATTTACAGCTTTAATCATCTCAACACAGTTCCAGTAAGTATGTCTAGCATATTTACCATTTTTATTACAGAAGGAGGCTTTATATGAATTGCAGCTAACAAATTTACATGCAGGCAGTAATAGAAGACAACATTTTCGTAAACGTAAACTGACGACAGAAGACAACAGACGACGACATACGATGGGCAACGAAACCAAGTGATGGATAAAGCTCACACAAGACGTCCGAAAGCTAAAATGGGTGGATAAAAACAACAGTCCACAATACACATGATACACTAAATAGAAAACTAAATATAAAGAAACATGAACCCACAAAAAACCGTGATTGACTTCACGTGCTCCTTAAGGGTAAGAAGATTCTGCTTCACTCGTCATGTTCCGTTGATAGTTAATATTCTGTCATAATGTAACATTGGACTATGTCATAAACATGAAATTGTAGCTATAAGCGGAGCATACCCTTGATAGCCCGTGACACTGATATTTCGTGACGGTAAACCAACTTATGATGATAACATCCGTAAAACGTGCAAAGGCCTGGCATAAACTTTTCCATTTCTGTGTGCCCGAGACGGTCAACAAAGTTGTCGTGTCAAGCTTTGTCAGGTCGAATTATTATTTTTATATTAATCATTTATATAATGAACCGTACAATGATCTGCCAAAAATAAAAATTCAGTTTTCAGACACTCTATCATTATTACCATGGTGATTTTTGTAAGGGAACAAACAGCCTATTGGTTGAATCCCTGTCAACGTAAAATAGTAAACAGTAAAGTTTTTTTCTGTTGATAAACTGAATTCGAAACATTCAACCAAATACTTCATACTATTTTTTACATGTATACGAATGAAACCTAGTAACCTTCACATTTTGTATGAAGAGCGGAAACGAATCTTGATAAACCAGTGATCGTGACTCGCTTTTATTTCGTATATATAAGCAGCATTCAATTCTATAGTAATCTGTATATATGATCTATGATTTACGCAAATTAAGAAAAAAATACGATTTCATTTTTTTCGTACCAGTTGTTATTATGAACTCCTTACATCAATAAAGCTTATTCGAATAATTCAACTGTAGCAACGAGTTACAATATGTATAACATTAATGTGGGTTTAAATACAATACAGCAAATTAGAAATTAAGCCCCATGTTACGTTTAAGTATCACTGGTATGCTTCTGCAGTTTTCAGACATAATGTTTTTGTTACAAAAAAATGCTCACAAAAAGTAACGCAAATATTAATTTTACAGAAGATTATCATGTGGTTATATTTTTACGTTTAAAGGCTATTTAACCAAAGGAATTATTGCAAATAAAGAAAAAAACCTCATCGAAAATACAAGGTTTATAATTTGTACTCGAAACAAGCTTTTTGTTTCCACAAACCTCCTCAGTGGCGCTCGATATAACAGTTGGATAACCAAATTAATTAGGAAGTTAAAAAGTGTTTGAAAACTAACAAATTCTATGCATGGGGTTAGAAAAATTGTAGTAATTGGAATGACTTTAAAGTTAAATGAACAGTAAAATGAAATGTATGACCAATGAAATTGCATGTCAGCACATGTACAGGAACACTGACTACAAAGCTGGTAATAGCATCGGGGATGAAACGTAAATCAGTAGTGGCATCGACCCAGTGGTTGTTAAAAATCTTCAAAGATACAGAAAATAAAAAGTTATTTTTTCAAATTTGATCTGTCGATGTCACAGTAGAAGAAAGCTAATTTGGTTACACTGGACCGGTTTAGATGTTTTATGTGTCTCTTCTTCCCTTTAGGCTCATTCCACTCCCTCCGTACTATTTCTTAAATTTTATATTCCGAACGAAATTACAAGTTTTAAGGTTGCAGTCTTGTAATTGACTGCTCCATAGGCTTACATGCAAAACAGCTGATCTTTGAAAATTAAAAAAAAAAAAAAATGCTACATAGAATTTTTTTTTCATGTGCATATCATGTATGTAGTAATGTGAAATTGTGATGTAATCGAAAAAAAAGTGCATCATGCCACGAAGAATAAAAAGCTAAAAAAAAACCCTGAAGTCAAAACTAATTTTGTCTACTTTCTGTTTGCTGTTTTTACTAGGCCGCACCACTTCCAGTAAACATGATATCCTTCCACTTTTCTGGTTTGATATCTCAAAAAAGATGCAAGATTTTTTTAAAAATCTAAATATATGTTTCAATTCAGCATAAACTTTTAACTAAACAGAAAAAATTGAGTCCAGAAAAAAATTCAGAAAAAAATGGACTATTTTATTTCACTCTATGCACCGGAAACTGGAGTTGTAATACAAGACTGGTACCTTAACATCGGTTAAACTACCGTTGTCTGTAATCTATTCCTTATGATAAGTATATCTTTCTTTTGAATAAATGTATGAATGCTTTATTTGCAAGAAGCATATACATGCTATGGCAAACGAAAATATATACAATATATGACAAACAAAAGACAGCAGAGAACAGTAGTTACAGAGTATACAATAATATTATGACAATATATGTGATCTTATTTTCCAAGCTGCATTTAAACAACTGCATAGTTTTACTGTCAGATATTTGCAATGAGCTTGTAATAAATTGGGTAAAAATTCTATTCGCACAGATATATATGCTGGACATGATAAAACAACATGTTGGTCCATTGATTATTTACAACTAACTACACGTTATCGTATTGGTCACAGATACTTTTCAACTATACAGATATAATAATTATGATAATCGGTAATTATAAGAATTTGATTATCAATTATGTAAATAGACTACCTTAAAAATAACTGCTTTGCACAAATTGGAAAAAAAATGAAAAATGATCAAAAAAGCATTTATGTACTCAACTGAATACTTATAACAATATATAAATCTTTTTTCAGTGACTACAGAAAAGCCTTGTTCGTCAGCTAATCATTTACCAGGTAAATATAAAACAACTTTATAATATGTCTTCATATATTCATTCTAAATGATTTTTTTTTTAGTTATTCATCATATTAACTATAATATATGTTGTGACCAAACACAAATAACGAATGTGACGGTAGCGAGCAGTCATGAGATAAAGCGATATGGTTTATAAGAATACCTTTAAGGGCATCCGATACAGTTTCACGTTATATTTTTAATTTTCATCATTTTTAGAGTTATAAAAAAGTTCACGAAATAAAACGTAGGTCACTGTGCTTGTTTTCGAGAAAATTGAGGCTGAAAATTAGGGATTTTTGCACTTTTATATAAAAAAAAGTTAAGCAAAGTTATACTAATTTTGGAGTAGATATTCGTCGTCATAAATTATTAACATTAGATTTATTCTAAAGCTGTAAAAAATGAAAGTAAGGGGAAAAATCCATGCAAGAATGACTAGTCAATAATTCAAGCCATGCTTAAAATTGCGGATAAGATGCTCAAAGTGGGATACTTTTTGTACCCTAAAATGTGGAAATCCAGAGGTTCTTATAATGTCATTTTTCTCAATTTTCTACATTAACTGACTTTTGTCATGCTTTCGCTAAATAGCACCGTGCTGGATTCGAAGATAAATCTTGATTAATCCACAACATTGCACCCCCTTGAAAACCTCAACGTAAGCGCGAAAATGCAACGTCACTGGCTGACAACTTCGACGTCTCCTGCCAATTATTCCTGCAAGGTTATCAGCGACAATGTATATATATATATATATATATATATAGATTCTACCACTGCATCGAGTGTGATACGATATTTATCCACTCGAGACAGTTAAATTTTCAAATTTAAAACGCGAGGCTCGCCGAGCGTTTTAAATATTTAAAATTTAACTGTCGAGAGTGGATAAATATCGTATTACACGAGATTTGGAGGTGGAATCTGTTTCTCTAATGATTTTCAAACAATATGCAGGCAAACGTATTCCTTCTTTTTGAATGATCTGCAAAAAGATGTGTTCTTTCTATGTGACGTCATCAGGCATGGTCGCCTTTTTTCATGCCGTCACAATAGGAAATTCAGAGGAAAGCAAGAAAATTCGACGTCATAACGTCATAATCGTATTTCAACCAATGAAGAACTGAGATCAAACGAACCACACGTTGATTAAATTTTTTTTATACAATGGGTGCAGAAAGGGATAAATTGACGAAGAATTAGAGAAATATATATATTGCTTATAAAGAGTTTCATTAAAATAATAATTTGTTTCCGGAAATAAAAACATGTATCATGAATACCTCTCTATTTTTATTCTGTTCATGTTCCAAGTGAGAAACATCTCAGGTAAAGCTATTGCGGACTGTTGAATTTTTTTCGGCTTCATCTAAAGATGCGGCAATTTAGAGCTAAACATGCCGGTACTTAGTACACACTCGTGTATTGTTTAAGGCCATATGTTGACCTCTATATTGTTTTGGTTGGTGGGCTGCTGTTTCATTTACATACCCCCTAAACATCCTTTTATTCACATTTTAAACTTTTTTTTAATAATTTCACATTTGTTCATAAAATCAAACAAAATTATTCGAGTAAATGATTACTGTTGAAGAAAACTTTTTCATAATTTTTGATCTACAAAATTGTTGAATTTATATCTGGAAGACGGAACATGTTTCCTTTACTTTCCACATACCTTCGGGTTTGCTTTTTGTGTCCTTTTTATTCATCTCTCCCGACATATACCGAAATTACAATTCTAAAGCAATTAATTTTGTTTTAACAGTAACAAATTCTTTATTGCACTAGTATCTAACTGCCCTATATAGTACAACCATTCACTTAATGCATTTATTTATAAAAAGACGATGTGGTATGATTGCCAATGAGACAACTCTCCACAATAGACCAAATGACACAGAAATTAGCAACTATAGGTCACCGTACGGCCTTCAACAATTAGTAAAGCCCATACCGCATAGTCAGCTATAAAAGGCCCCGAAATGACAAATGTAAAACAATTCAAACTAGAAAACTAACGGCTTAATCTATGTACAAAACAATGAACGAAAAACAAATATGTAACACAGCAACAAACGACAACCACTGAATAACAGGTTCCTGACTTGGGACAGGCACAAACAGAATATGGCGGGGTTAAACTAGTTTGAAGGCGCCAACCTCCCCTAACCTGGAACAGTGGTGTAACAGTACAACATAAGAACAAACTGTAAAAATCAGTTGAAAAAGGCTTAACTCATCAGATGGATACAAATAGAATTATATCTAAGATAAACACAAAGTGGATGTGGACGGGTACTTGTTCATCCCAACAACACAAGACACTAAGTACAGATCTGAGAGTGTTCGCAGTTTCTGACAGCTAGTTCAAAGCCAATAACAACTAATAAAAAAAAATCATGCATCTAAGACTAAGTTATCAATCAGTACACATCCAACATCCAATGGATTTAGTGTTAAGACGTCATAAACAGTCAGAGAAAACATGACCTTGTGCAATGCCAAGATACAGGTATCGACAGATTGTAGAGCCATGAATTTGCATATGATATAACAATAATATTTAGTTTGATTTTAATTTACTGATAACAAAATCAATATCAATACCAATAAAAACAATATTCAAAGATCTAATTACAGTGTTGAATTGGTAACCTTTTCGAATAAGTTTATTTAAAGGATCGATAAGTTAACCCGGATCGTTTTTAAATTTCCGGGCTCGGAAAACAACATCTCCGTAAAAATGAGGATGTGCTATCACGTTTGAAATAAGTTTTCTCCAGGTACAACCAAACTTCAAAACCAAATCCTTATATCATTCTATGGAAATATTTAGTAAAGGTTATAAGTAATTTGTGGTAACGAAATCCCTGACTTAATAATTTATCAGTAAAACATAAATTACGTTCATTAAAATCCGATACGTCATAACAGACACGGGCATAGCGAACGACTTGTGATATATTAACACCGTAAGATGGTGCCAAAGGAACATCACCATCCAAAAAAGGAAAATTAACAATAGGAATCAAAAAATCGCCCCTTTTGTCGTAAATTTTAGTATAGAGTTTCCCGTGGAAAACTGAAATATCTAAATCAAGGAAAAGGACAGCTACTACCGTCCATATTTGATTTATTTAAAGTAAGTTCCTTTGGGTAAATTTCGGCAGTATATTTAGAAAATTCTTGATTATTTAACGAAAAAATATCATCAAGATAACGGGAAGTGTTGTTGAATTTATCAATTCGATGCAATTTAGACGGGTCTTTACTGAGTTTGGTCCTAAACTGATTCATAACAGTACAAGAACAAGTCTGCTATTAAAAGGGGCGCAATTGGTGCCCATAGGAATACCTACAACCTGTCAATAAATTTTATTGCCGAAACGTACATAAATATTATCAAAGAGAAAATTAACAGCTCCAATCATCTCATCACACATGCAGTAAGTATATCTAGCATATTTACCTTTCTCATTAGAGAAAAAGCCTTTAAATGAGTTGCAGCAAATATATTTGCATTCAGATTTACCAAACGACCATTTAATGAAATAGGAAACTTTTGTTGGATAAGATTGTGTGGAAGTGTAGTGTAAAGAGTTGAAAAGTCAAAACTGTCAACAGAATCAAAAGGACCATCAAAAGCACGTAATTTATCTAAAACATCTAAAGAATTTTTTACACTCCAAAAATAGTTAATTCCACTATTTTCATATGTTTTATTACAAAAGTTAATGATTAGTTCTTTGATAGAAGTTAAGGAACTAGTTAAAAGCACTGAAATATTAGTTGTAGAACACTTACTTGAGGTCGAGATGAAACGATATTTTACTGTTTTTTTTGTATAGTTTAGGTAACCAATACATAGTAGGGACATTCAAATGTTCAGAGGAGGCCTTATGCTGTGATGTAGTTATGATATGTTTGTTTACTAATGACTCTCTGTGGAGCGCACAGACTTGATTGTAGATGAATTTAAAATTTCATTCTTAAGAACTTCCGTGTAGTATTTACGAGATACCACCACCACATTGTTGGCTGCTTTGTCGGCCGGAGCAAACACAAACCGCTTTGAAAGTACTTGAAGTTTGTTTCTTATTCTAGAAATAGGCGTATTATGTACTCTTTTACTTATTTCTGAATTATGTTCAAAATGTGATATTCGAATATCAACAACATCCATGCATTTATTTAAATAAGAACCAAGAGATGTTTTATCAGATTTTTCACGTTTACTCCAATTTTTACATTACGATGAAAGAGCGTCTTTTGTGACCTGACGACACTGTTTCCAATCTATTTTAGATGGAAGACGATATTTTGGTCTTTTTTTCAAAAAGTTTTTAACCTCTCGGTCTTGAACGATATTTAGGTCCCCCGTAATAACATGGCAATAGGGATCATATCTAAAATTCGACGATTCACATTTTCAAATTAGAGGAGTATTATTTTCTACATTGACGTCTGATGTTACTGACGTATAATTAAAAATTAAACTTCTGCTGGTTTTTTTTGTATATATACTAAATAATCGGTTGTTCTGTGTTATCACATAGGGAGGTATAAAGTTTTGAATGGTAGAGTAATTAAATATACTCGATAAGTTGATGAATGAATACCTCTGTTGATATATTTAATTTTCAGAAAGTGCCGTTTATGATCTTCAGGTTTATTGATACGCGGGAACAGCCTATGATGGCAAAAAGCTGTAATTTTACGCGAATATTCATAGAGTGGGCTGAAAAACGAGATTGTGTCACACTCCTTGAAAATATCATGTAATTTACAAAGTGGTATATGACCCAGTTTTCATAATAATTGATGCCTACCATTGTTTTAAATATAGATAGGAGATCATCAAGTGTATAATTTATACGATGTTTAATTCGTTAATTACGATTGATATGTTTGCCAGGAGACCTATTATTACGTTGTCTTTTATCAACAATATTCATGACATCAATAGAAGAAGTTTTAGATATGTTCCCTTGTCCAAGTATATTGTCATTTAGACCCATGGGATTTGCTGTCTGCAGTCGTTTAATCCAAGACAGTTCGATAATTTTACGGGAATCTTCAAATTGTTTATGCGATTGCCGTTGTTGTTTCTGGATCATTTCGAGTGGTTGGAATCTTATAAATTTAATATTGTGTTTGTGTTTACCTAAATGTTGGTAAATTATACTTTTGAATTTCTTAGGTTTTCGGAAGCAGTATAGATGTTCCTGCATGTATTCGTTTAAAAAATTCCCGTCCTGTTTGGCCTACATATTGTATACCACACTTTGGCTTTGTTCAAGTAACCAGATAAATGAAGCTTTGAGTTTTTCATGTAGTGTCACAGGAAAGGGAAAGCGAAAAAGCTCTCCCGTTCACTGTTGACCTAACAGTATTATCAGAAGATAATCTAGATCAGGTTAGTCATTTTCTGGCAAAAAAATAGCTAACCTGATCTAGATTATCTTCTGATATTGACTTTGCCTGTAACTTAAATGCGCTGTAAAATTATCTTTTTTGTGCGCTGTCAGACTAACGGCCTGTCAGAAAATTGGATCAAAATCAAAATTCGATCAGGGATGATTTATGATAAAAATGATAATTGGCATGCATTATTCTAACTTCAAAGGGGTCAGTCGTCTTTAGATATTTTGTTGACTTCATTGTAGAAGATCTCACAGACGCTGCAAGACGAGGAACAACAGAAACAGTTATATGTGTTTAAATTCTAATGATTTCATTATTTTTATCCTATGTATATATACCCAAAACATTAGAATCAAATGCACTTATCTGGACAGCGGAGAAGTTGATGTCTGTGAGAAACATAAATTGAATCATCTTTTATACTTAATATCGTTCAAACAGAAAATAACACGCATGAAGTCCCGCCGAAAATGATGTTTTGGGGGAATTCGAACGCTTAACGTAGTGTAAATAATTAACTCCCTTGAAGCTGTATCGGATGCCCTTTAAGACATTCACATGATAACGCGTGTACGATAAAAACATAAATGTTTTAATTGAAAATTCGTTTATTTTCAATTTTGTGTTTCAAATAATTTTATAGCTTTTTTTTCTTCTGAAACGAATTTTCCACGATATTGATTATGAACGTTCACAATAAGAACAAGTTTAATATAATGATGCATTGTGTTTTTTTGTTTTTGTTTTTTTTTCAAAATCTTTTAATGAATACAGTTATTTATTGCCCTTTTCTGATAGTGTTATGATGCATTCTTAACCAAAAATACGGGTACCACTGCAAAGAGTAGACGAAATTTCACATTTCCTTTTCTCATCAGCCTTATAAGAGAAGCGAAGGTTCCAAAGGGACATTCAAACTCATTAATCGAAAATAAACTGACAACACCATGACTGAAAAAGAAAAAGACAAATAGACAAACAACAGTAAACAACACAAAACATAGAAAAGCAGACTGAGCAACACTAACCCCACCAAAAAAATGGGAGTGATCTCAGGTGCTCCGGAAGGGTAAGCAGATCATACTCAACATTAGGCATCCGTCATGTCGCTTATGTTAGTACAAACCCGGTGATAAGTCTAATTCGGTAGGTCACATTCGGGGAAAAGGGGACGGGATTGTAGATACGACAATTGGAACATATCCGTTTGTGAAACGGATATTCCATAGGAGTTAACCAACTCGTGATGGCGTCCGTAAAATTCACGAAGGGCCGATTTCAACTTCACCACTTGGAAATCTTTGTTTAATAGTTTCCTTGTGAGCAGCAACCGTCTATAAAGGAAATCATGGTAGAAAACACAATCCCTGAAATATCGTATCAACTGGGAGATGTATAATCCGTATGCAGTGATACTCCGTATGCTGGCGCTGCTGGAATGTTGCTACATTATTGGTTGAATAATTATTCACTGCAAAGTTTATTTCTTCAATCTATAAGTTTCGATAATGTAAGCATTGCACAAAAGAGTTACAAAAGGACAATAATTCGGTATATTTAAATGTGTGGATTTTTTTTTTGCTTTTGATCTCAAGAATATGTTGAACGATAAGCAGATCTAGATGTGTTCATGTGTCAGTTGACAACTATGCACAGTTCATGATATGTACAGTTTTATATTGTCTTATTTTAAGTGGTTAGTGTGAAAAGAATATTTTATATGAACTATAATCTGTTTTATTTCAGTGGTAAACATATGTGAGAACGCTACTGCTGTCCAGGATGCGGCCAATGTTGTTTTAATAAAAGCAGATTCCATTCAAAACTGTGCATGTGAACTTTCTGTTATCAATCACAACCAATCAATTACTATAAATATTGAAAGATTTGACAGTCATAAAAGTTCGCGTCCGTCCAATACTGATTGTGGCTTGATACTGCTGTTTTATTCCGGCGGAAATCTTTTTTGGGAAGCTAACTGCGGAGTCAATCATTTTAATCGAAGGCAGATGAACATCGACGAGGTTATAACAGTTAGGTCAACGGCTGTGAATGGAACATTGATATCAAATGAGGGGTATTGTATTGAAATATCAAAAAGTACGTCTTATTAGATATTTGAGTGTACGATTAACGTATAGATACCAATTTCACAACACATTTTTCTGAAATAATTCATAATCGACGCTCGCGATAAGTAATTTTGTAATCCAAAAGAAGCATGACAAAAATTGTCAAAACAGATATCTCCTAAAAACAGTATAAACGAAGAACATTGGAGATATTGTGATTCACTTCCAGCATGAATTGAACTTGGAAAGAAAAAAAGAAAATGATTGAATACAGTTTTACGATTATGTATTATTCAGAACGTGTCACTATCGAAGCACTGGCTACTGGATGGATAATAACCATGTATAATGACCAGCATATAATATCAAGATAATTTACAATGCATAATTTTCATTTGAATGAAACCTTTAATTCAGAATCAAAAATCACAATTTAGAAATCAAAGTAGTTCATCCTAGTTTGTCATTTCATCTGAATTACAGATATCTTAAAACTGTGTTAAACGCCTGCCTGTTCACATGCTGGACATCATTTATAGGGGCGTGCTCTTACGTGAAAACTGTTCCTGTCGAATTATAGGTCACAACGACTGAAATTGACATCAGCAAATTTTATGGTCACCATGCCGCATTGGTTGACTATTACGATGTATCTGTCTAAACTTATCGAATGTTATTTCGCGGTTTTAGATATTCACACTCAGGAATAGTCATCTGATTTGTAAATTTGCAGTTTAGATCCTATTAACTATTGTAACAATTTAACTGAATGTGGATTCGCAAGGTGATGCATGCAATGCAGGTGTTGCTTATGCGTACCGTAAGTTCCTGATAGATCATGTGTTACAGTAGAGGCGAAGGATACCAAAGGGACATTCAATATAAATAACAAGATGTGGTATGAGTGCCAATCAGACAACTCTCTACCCAAGTCACAATGTATAAAAAGTCAACAATTATAGGTCAAAGTACGGCCTTCAACACGAAGCCTTGGCTCACACCGAATAACAAGCTATAAAGGGCCCCAAAATTACTAATGTAAAACAATTCAAACAGAAAAACAAACGGTCTAATCTATATAAAAAACGAGAAACGAGAAATACCCATGAACCACACCAACAAACGACAACCACTGAACAACAGGCTCCTCGTGCAGCGGGTTTAAAAGTTTTAACAAGCGCCAACCTTCACCCTAACCTGAGACAGTAATGTAACATTACAACATAAAAAGACACACTATGAAATAAACCCATAAGTCGAAAAATAAACTGACAACGATATGGCTAAAAAAGAAAAAGACAAACAGACAAACATCTGTACACAAAACAACATAGAAAGTCAAAGACTGAGCAACACGAACCTCACCAAAAACTTGGGGTGATCTCAAGTGCTCCGGAAGGGTAAGCCAATCCTGCTCAACATGTGGCACCCGTCGTGTTGCTCATGTTAGTACAAACCCGGTGTGATGTCTTTCGGTAGGTATCATTTAGGGGACTAGGGACGAGATTGTAGTTTCGACAATTGGAATGTCGTCATCTGTGAAACAGATATTCCATAACGGTCAATCAACTCGTGATGGGGTCCGTAATATTTACTAAGGGATGATTTTAATTTCACCACTTGAAACTCTTGGTTTAATAGCTTCATTGTGAGCAGCAACCATCTATCAAGGAAATCATGGTAGGAAACACAAGCCCTGGAATATCTTATCAACTTGGAGATGTATACACTGTATGCAGGCGCTGCTGGAATGTTGTTACAAAACATGAATTTCAGAGAGAAATTTCTATCAAATAAAAAGATTAAACTCAAATTTAAACTTCACTCTTATTAAATGAAGAACATATCGGTGATGAGTATTTGTACTATACGAGCAGTTACTTGCCACAATTTGCGGTTTTGAGTCCTCAATGATCTTCAACTTCATACATTAATTGGCATTTTTAACATGTTTTGATTTGAGCGTCGCTGTTGATTCTTTGGTAAAGAAAAGACTCATCAGTGACGCTCGATTCATAATATTTAAAGACCAAATTAAAGTACGAAGTTGAAGAGCATTGAATTGTTCCTAATCATCTCTGCTCCTGTAATAATATTTTCTGGAAAGAAGAATTGATATCAACATTTACTTAAGCAAATAAAAAATGTACAATTTTTATTTTATTTCTTGTTGCAAGCATTACAATAATGACACTTATGTAGAAGTATTTCTTATTAACAGTATCCATTGTTGGATGGGGAAACAAGCTTGGGCTAACGTGTGGTATTGGCAGCACTACTTTAACTACCACAACAACACAATCAACGGAAATAACAAAAAAGATCACGAAGATAACAAATGCATTACCAATAACGACAAAGATAGTCCCAACAACAACAATAATCCCATCAATAACTACAACAACAACGATTGACACTAAGAAGTTTACATTTACAAAGTGGACAAGTACAGATGGCTCCATGAGCACAAGACAAGCAAATACACAACTAACAACTAAAGGTTTGTTATGCTATATTATTGACAAAAATATACACATTCCTGTTTAAAGTAAAAGAAATGACCGCCCAACGATCAATTAGTTGTAAAGGTCGTTCACTGTTCTCTATAAATTGTGTAGTAAAGTGCTATTTCAAAACTAGCTTTGTTATGCCTTTGTTTTAAGATAATATGACGTTTAAAAGTGAGGCAAATGATTCAAAGGGATAATCAAACATAAGTCAATGAAAAAAAATGAAAATCTGCCATGACAAGAAAGGAGAATGATTAAAAGACATATAACAGTATACAAAACACATCATAGAAAACTAAAGACGGAGTAACACTAACCCCACCAAGGATGCTCCTGAAATTGTCCTGAAAAAGATCGTTTTACCTTGGCAAATGCTGACATGTCAATGCGGCATCAAGAACAGCGTTACTGAATGTTTTTGTTTCTACTGTTTTGTTGTCCTTATTTGGTGCGGTGTTTAACTATTTTGTTATCTCGTTGGAGTTTTTCTCCACTCTACGTTTTCCCGTTATTTGTTTCCTTCAGACAAATGGATGTTAGAACACAACTCACGTTTCAGCATTCATGATTATTGCGGGTTTCCGAGAATATTTTGGTTTTTGTTTTGGTAAATATTTGGCTGGGGCATTTAGAATTATTGGCATATACGTAGAGCTCAGATGCTCTTAAACTTAGGTTTAAATTCCAAAAAGGTCAAGGTGTCTTGATTTGGCGTTTATCGTTGTGGTCATATTTATTTTGTCAAAAACTTACGCTTCATGTACCAAACTTTTGTATTGTCTTACAAGTTATGAGTAATAATAACTTATTAGTTTCAAAGGAAAAATATTCATTTTGGTCGCTGCTTAAGCTTTCAACAGAACTAACTGATATTCTAAATTTTTTACTTACAAACCGTTTCCTCTAAAAAAAAAACGTACAACATATTCGGCGTTCGAACTTGAGAGCGTTTGCTTCGATAATCTCAATAGTCTTCGGTCCGTGTCTGATATCACTTAGCTACGATTGCTGACAAACATTTACTTATAATTTATACGCTTACTAATAAACTGCTTTATTGTCAATCCATATGGACAAAAATTATGTAGCTGTCTTACGGACAATGAACTCATTTCATTATCATGAAATATGTATAATGGCTAGTTTTTATTTTATTGTTTTCATTTTTGAGTATCTTTTTCTTTTTTTTTTTCAACATTAACAAATTCTTTATTGCACTAGTATCTAGTTGTTAACAACTGCCCTATATAGTACAACCATTATATATAGGGTTATCCCTGTGTGTTAATCGTCAAATTAACCAGGGGATTGACTTGACGAAATTATATATTCTTTATTGTTACAAGGACGTATAACTAACATACGTCCTTGATTGTTAGAATAATTTACATTTGCATTTTACATTCATTTTGCGGATATCTGTTTTCTCCGTTTACGGTTTGTTATTTACAGTGATTTATTAATAAACCCTACAACACGTGTGATTTTCCGTTGGATACATTTTGTCTATCATATTCTATCAAGGTAAGTTTCAAATATAATTAGTGTGCCACTATGGTTAAGATGACTTAATGTATGATGTTCTTCTATGTGTATATATATATATCTATTTGAAATGTCTTCAATCTTTGATATTATTCTAAATTACGTTCATGAAACGAAAGTAGACATTTCAACATGTTTGATTTCTTCAAAATTGAAAATAAGAAGATATATTACTAATTTAGAAAACCGCTTTGTGTCCTTTGCTAATTTCATTTGGATAATATTACAAACATCGTGACACATGACCATGTACCTTTAATCTAGTTACAAAGCACTTAAAATTTTTGCAACACTGCATAGAATATTAAGTTTATCCTGCCGTTTACACTCCATTTCGATAATTTCTTGAAATTTTGATTTGAAAATGCAAAAAGTATTGACAGGTTTTGATCTTTGTTCAGAAATGTAGTATGCCTTATAAATTGCGTATGTGATTATTGTTAATAAGTTGTTTACTTCATAGTATTCTTCCTGTTCAATGTTATATCCCCATGCTAAATTTGATAAGCTTAGAATATGAGTTCCTATTTTAATTTTTCATAAAATATCTTTTTATTTTTTCCCAAAATACTTTTATTGTTTTACATCTTTAAAACATGTGTTCGTAATCTTCTGTAATATTACATTCATGGCAGTTTGAGCTTGTACTTTTTTTCCATTGCTTCAATAAGACTTTACAAGGAAAGATATAGTGCAAAAGTTTCCATCTAAATATTTTTAGTGTATTATCTTTCAGAAAAAAATGAGTGAATTTTAAAATGCTTTCTGGTTTTTTTATTTAAGTTACCAATTTTTAATAGACGATTCCATTTTAAGAATCCTAGTGGTGTCTCTTTACCTTGCACTTTAATAAATTTATAAATATTTTTTGTTTCCATATTATTTGATAAAAGTTCCGGACGACTATTTATTTTGATGTTCAGCTTGGTTAAAACTTTAGTCTTAACTGAATTCTCATGCTCAATCATTGTTTTAAGTTTTAGCATTTCAGCAATCCAATTAGTTTTGTTTTTTAATTTCTCAAGTACTACCCTTTCTGATATTTTCCCATTGGTATCTAATATGTCATTTATATGAATTATTTTACTATTAATCCAATTTTTAAAAACAAGGCATTTACCCTTATCTTTTATATAGTTATTCCCCCATATAATCTGTTGTCGGATTGATCTAAAGTTTTCAGGTGTTGCAGTTTTCCCCTTTGTATATTTGATCCATGTTTTTATTATTTCTAAGTAGAAGTCTGGTATTTTGTACTTATTTATGTTAGATATTGAGTTCATATTTTCTATGTTCATAATAAAAATTAGAAAGTTTTTTCAAAAGTTATCAAAGAAAAATCTTGGTATAACTTTCCAGTTAGAGGTTTCAGAAGATTTTAATCTTTTGACCCATCCTATTTGAATTGCTTCAATTTGTTTTACAATGTCTGTCATATTTAGACCACCTTGTAACATTGGGGTATATATTACAGTTCTTTTCACTTTTTCACTTCGATTGTTCCAAATGAAATCAAAAATAATTTTATTAAATTGTGTTAAATGATCCATATTGGATACTGTTGCTAAATATGTCAAGTTTGGATGATGAGAGTTTTAACAACAGTTATTCGACCTATCATCGACCTATCATCGTTAGATTTCTTTTCTTCCAAGTATTTAATTTTTTTTCTGATTTTTGGAACTGTTTATCAAAATTTAACTTTTGACATTCTTTTTTTGTTCAAACCAAAATATATTCCTAAAGACTTAATTGGTCTATTTGTCCAATTAATGTTTTCAAATTTGTCTATGCTGTGTTTTTGCTTACCTAACCATATTCCTTCAGTTTTTGTTCTATTCAGTTTTAGCCCTGAGAATGTTCCAAATTTTTCTATTACATTTAGTATTTTAGATATTTCCTTTTTATTTTTTAGGAATAAGGTTGTGTCGTCTGCTAATTGTGATATTTTGAGACTATGTGATTTTCCATCAATTTTTATTTCAAACCTTTTAATATTAAAATCTTGTCTGATTTTACAGGCCAATATTTCTACAGCTATTACAAAAATTAGAGCGCTGCAAGGACATCCTTGTCGGATTCCTCTAAAAATAGATATGGGTTCTGATATCCAACCATTATTTGTAACAGAGCATTTAACATCATTGTAGATAGTTTTAATCCATTTAAAAATTGATTTTTGAAAGCCAAATTTTTGTAATGCCGAGTGCATAAATTCCCATTGAAGTGTATCAAACGCTTCGGAGAAGTCTAAAAATAACGAGGCTCCTTCTATTTTGAATGATTCAGCATAGTTTATGATATCCTGAATTTGTCTTACATTATACCCAATATAGCGATTTGTAATATAACCATTTTGGTCGGCACTTATGATTTTTGGTAGAATATTCTTAATTCTTTGTGCAAGGGTATATGCAATCAGTTTTGTGTCAACATTTAGCAGTGTTATAGGTCTGTAGTTTTCTAAGAGTAACGGATCATTTTTTTTTGTGAATAAGGGAGATAATCCCCAGTTTTTGTGTTTCAGTTAGTTCCCCTTTTTCATAACATTTATTAAATGTATATACTGCAAATTCTTTGAGCTCACCCCAAAAGGTTTGATAAAATTCAACACCGAGACCATCTGACCCTAGAGAACGGTTTAATTTCATCTTATATAAGGCTTTTGTGCATTCTTCCACGCTTATTTCTCCCTCTAATGTAGAACTTTCTTTTTCTGATAGCTTGTGGTCTATTTCAATTTCTGCAATGTATTCTTCTATTTGGTTTTTATTTGGACTAGATCTTTTGTAAATATCTTGATAGTATTCTCGTTCTATTTGTTAAATTGAATCTGTATCAGTATATATTATGCCGTTTTTATCTTTCAATGCTGTAATAGTCTTTTTTGATTGTCTTGATTTTTCTAAACCTAAGAAGAATTTAGTGTTTTTCTCCCCGTCCTCTATCCATTTTATTCTAGATCTTACTTGGGCACCCTTTGTTTTATTGATATATAGTATTTCTATATTCTTTTCTACATTGTCAATTTCATTTTTTAATACACTCATATAGTTGTTATCTATAGTCTCATTATTAATAAGATTATTAAGTTTGCCTAATTTTGTTTCTAAATTTATTATTATATCTTTATTAGGTCTTTCCACTTTTCTGTGGAAAGACCTATTGGTTTTCTTCTGATTATTATTATTATTATTATTATTATTATTTTCTTCTTCCGCCACTTTTTTCTGACGGTGCTTTTTTGTTTCGCAAGATGTCGCTTAGATTTTTTGCATATGATATTGAACAGTTATTACGATTTTGAAACTGACCCTGTTAAGCCGAACACTTTTTATTGTAAGAGTTATCTCCCCAAACACAGTTTTTCTTGTGTACAAATCTCCTTCGCAACCGTTAAAGATTACGACAAAATTATTTCACCAATTTGCTCGTTATATCTTCA